CGCCCGCCCGCGCGCCCGCCCGCCCGCCCGCCCCCCCCCCCCCTGCATTCCAATCGATCCATCTAATCGATTGCGATCCAAGCGATTGCAACCCAATCGATTGCGATCCAAACGTTTCCAATCCAATCGCGTTCAATCCATTGCAATGCAATCCCCCCCCCTCTGCCCCCCCCCCCTTCCAAGGCAATGCGGGGGGGGGGGGGGGGGGGGGGGGTCGAGCCCCGCCCCCCTTGGATGCGCAGGGGGGCGGGGTGGGGTGGGGGGGGCGGGGTGGGTGGGTGGTGGGCGTGTGCGTGGTGGTGGGGTGGGGGGGGGGGGGGGGGGGGCTTCCGACCCCCCCCCCCCTTTTCAAGGGGGGGGCCCAGGCTGACCTCCGGCTCCGACAAGGGGGGGGGGGGGGGGGGGGGGGGGGGCAGTTTCGACCCCCCCCCCTTCGGCACGAAAAGGAGGGGGGGGGGTTCTGACCCCCCCCCCCCCCCCTTTCAAAAGGGGGCCCGCGCTGACTTCTAGTTCCGAAAAAGGAGGGGGGGGGAGGTAGCTTCGAAGTCCCCCCGGGGGGGGGGGGCTTCAAGGCTGGGGAGGGGGAAAGGGGGTGACTCCAAGCTGGGGCTTTCATTTTAGTTTGTCGGTCGCTGCGGGCGCGGTCTATCACAGGTAAATGCGCCCGCTGCGTTGGCGTGCTACCTCAGGAACCCGAAGAGCAGCTCCATGGCGGGGCGCTTCTACGGCCCAGCTCGAGTTCTGGCGGGCGAGACGGCGCATCGGAACGGGGAGGTCCAACCTCGTCCCCGGGCGTGGATGAGCGCCTGTGGGCGGCTCACAAAATGCGGCCCCTGTGATCTGCGAGACGCGCCAGATCGCGAAGTGGCTGGGCACGAGATCATCCGCGGGGCGGATTTGCCGTGGGCGTTCAAGAATATCACGATCAGCCTGCGACCTGGGCAGTATTAAGATCTGGCAGATGATCTGCGCTTGATTCCGAGCGTCATGGGGTTCGCAGATGCTGGGCATGCACCGCCACCACCGACGGTCTCACTATTGGGCGTGGGACTCCCGAGACGACGGATCGCGGGTAAGTGGCCCCCACAAGAGCACGTGCGGGATCCAGACAGCCACGGGTGAGGACAGCGACTGGATGTTCCTCATCGCCAACCCCGCAAGTCTCGGCATCCGACCCAGGTTCGTTTCCAGCGACAGTGGCCAGACCGCCGATGATTCCCGGGGCGACGCCATCGTGGACATCTCCGTATGCGTGGGATGGCTTACCTTCTGCTGGGGCGACGGACGGCAGTCGCCACGGCGAGGGGCAGTTTGCTCGTCAGGAGCGGCATGGCCAGAAGGAGGCGACGGCATCAGTGGCTGTGGCGCATCCGTTCGAGTGGTTTTGGCAGATTCCTGGAGGCGCGATCGAGGTTGATATGGATCTGCCAAAAGGGCCCCGCGGTGGGCCAGCCGCCAGGGGCTCGGTGTCGTTCGCGGCGACGCAGCTGAGGTGACGTCGGGCCGAAGTCGAGCAGCGCGCTCTCTCGGCGTCGGACCTCGGGAAGTTCAGGCAAGTCAAGACCGAGGAGGCGCAGGGGTGGATCGAGGGGATGGTGCTCGACTGCCTCCTTGGCGACATCTCGGCACCGAGTGACGAGCTGATGCGTATTCGGTGGGCGCTGGCGCGGAAGATGGGCCCCGCTGAGCCCGGCGGTCGGCGGGCCGAGGATCTTCTGGTCATTCTGGGATCTCAAGGCCCCGATCTCACCGCTGCGCTCCAACGGCCGCCCCGACCGCTCGCCGGGTGTTTCTGCCGAGGGCGGCGCGCCTCAAGATGGCAGCGGCCAATGGCGACGCGCAGTCCGCGTTCTTGCAGGGGGGGGGGGGGGGGGGGGGGGGGGGGGGGGCTCGACGGGGGCCCGCTCGCGCGTCCGACGGGCGAGATCGCGGAGATGTTGGGGCGACGGTCGGGCCAAGCAGCCATTCTGACGAAGTCAGCCCGCGGCCTCGCGCGGGCCCTGCGGGCGCGGCGCAAGGCAGTCACTCGGGGGTTGACCGACCTCGGCTGGAGGCAACTGGAGTCGGGTTCTGACGGGTGTTTCAGATCCTGGTGGCGTTGATCACCCAGTGGCCCTGGTGCTCTCACGCGTCGACGAGTTCCTCTTCGCGGGGTGCATGTCGGGCGATGTCAGGCGATGAGGGGGGCGGCGGGTCACGGGGCGCGTTCAGGTGGACCGAGTGGGGGCGCGGTCTCTCCACTCAGCGCGTGGTAGACATCGCTCGGCGGAGCGACTTCGGCTTCTCGCTGAGCCAGGCGACCTGCGCGCGGCAGATCGGGGAGATCGAGTTTCCAGCTGGCCAGCGTCGTCAACCATCTTTCCCAGTGGCTCCATCGGAGAAGGGCCAGCTTGTTGCAAGGTGTTCAGACGGACCCAGATGGCCTAGTGGAGTTGAGCTTGCTGCAGAATCAAGCCGAGTCCCGCGCGGCGACGACCTCGTGGAGGTCAGCAAGTTAATCGTGCGCGCGAGGGAGACCAAGGACCGAGTGCTGGAGATCTTTCCGTTCTCCGAGTCGGAGCTGTCGGTGGCCGGCTGGTGCGACGCCGCCCTCGACAACCAGGTGGGCGGCAAGTCGACCGGGGGCCGTGCGCTCGGCATTGTGCCGTGGAGTTTTCTGACTGGGAAAGAAGCAGGTGTGTCCATGATCAGTTGGAGATCGCGCAGAGTAGAACGCGCGTGCCGCTCCCCACCTACAGCGGAGGTTTCAGCGGCAGTCTCAGAGACCCGTGGAACCAGATCTCAGAGACCCGTGGGCCCAGGTCCGTAGGGCCCCAAGATCTTTTTTTGTTTGATCCCCAGCTCCAGGAATTTGCGTGATTATTTGCGTTGCCCTGGGGGGTTCATGAGCGGAAGAGAGTCCTGCTTTAGTTTAGAGCTGTTAGCTTCACGAGACGGAATCGGAACGCGCGAGTGCCCTGTCAGATGGGCGCGCAGCGATGTGATGCTAGCGAATCGTTTCGCTCAGGGCCACGAGCGATGGCAGTCAGGATGCCCTTTCACTAGCAAATTTAGGCGGCGACTAGTTTATGATTAGATAGCTGAGTCGGCTAAACGTCGTGAGTGTCTGGGGATCCAGGCCCTGGGGCGCGCTGAATGTTTGGATTTCCGTTTTGATTTCTGTGGTGGCGTCGCTTTGGCAGCTGCTGAATGATTTTCTTTGTCATGCCAGTTTGGTTTTCAAGTGGTTTGAGCGAAGATATTTTAGGACCGGTGTCGATTGCTCGATGTTGGTACGATTCGTTCCGTCCGCAGCTATTTGGCTACCGGCCTTCAGCGGGGCCAGAGGAGTTCTGGGCTAAAGAGTTGGGCCCTCGCCTTTTTATCTTACCTATCGCACCCAGTATCTACATTGCATGCCAAGTTCCCCTCTCTCTCTCATTCTCGGTGCTGGCGTGCAAAGAGAGCGAGTGGTGCTTGGAGGGCGCATGTGAGGTTTCGCTTCGCACCCTCCTTCTCTCGCTCCTCGGCTCCTCGCTTTCCTCGATTTCCCGCCGGTTCCATGTTCTTGGCCTTCCCGTGTTTCTGTGTCGGCCCGTCGTATGGTCCGAAGAAGATGGCACTGTATTTTCCGCTCGTGCTCACGCCCGCGCGCCGCATGATGCATGGCTTGTCTTTCTGTGTGAAGCCCTGTTTTTTTTCGGCGTCGTGGCGCTTTTCGTGACGTCGGCTTTTTGGGGGTCTCGGGCGTCCTTTGGGCGCCCCGTTCTTTGACCCTGGGCGTTGCCGCGAGCCGCGCGCCGCTCCGTGTTCCGCGCGTGGCGCCCTGCCCCCTCCGAATGCCCACCTCAGGATGGGGATGATGATGATGATGATGATGATGATGATGATGATGATGATGATGATGATGATAATAATTATGATGATGATGCTGATGATGATGGTGATGCTGATGCTGCTGCTGATGATGATGAGGATGCTGATGATGATATGAAGCTGATGATGATGACGATGCTGATCATGATGATGATGATGATGCTGATCATGATGATGACGATGATGATGATGATGATGATGAGGAGGATGAGGATGAGGAGGAGGAGGAGGAGGAGGAGGAGGAGGAGGAGGAAGGGAATGAGGATGATGATGATGATGATGATGATGAGGATGCTGATGATGATATGATGCTGATGATGATGACGATGCTGATCATGATGACGATGATGATGCTGATCATGATGATGACGATGATGATGATGATGATGATGATGATGCTGATTATGATGATGATGATGATGATGATGATAATAATTATGATGATGATGCTGATGATGATGGTGATGCTGATGCGGTTGCTGATGATGATGAGGTTGCTGATGATGATATGATGCTGATGATGATGACGATGCTGATCATGATGATGATGATGATGATGATGATGCTGATCATGATGATGACGATGATGATGATGATGACGATGATGATGATGATGATGATGATGATGATGATAATAATTATGATGATGATGCTGATGATGATGGTGATGCTGATGCTGCTGCTGATGATGATGAGGATGCTGATGATGATATGAAGCTGATGATGATGACGATGCTGATCATGATGATGATGATGATGATGCTGATCATGATGATGACGATGATGATGATGATGATGATGATGATGATGATGATGATGAGGAGGATGAGGATGCGGAGGAGGAGGAGGAGGAGGAGGAGGAGGAGGAGGAGGAGGAAGGGGATGAGGATGATGATGATGATGATGATGAGAGGATGCTGATGATGAATGATGCGATGATGATGACGATGCGATCATGATGAGGAGGAGGAGGAGGAGGAGGAGGAGGAGGGAGGAGGAGGAGGAGGACGAGGACGAGGAGGAGGGGAGGGAGGACGAAGAGGAGGAGGGGGAGGGGGAGGAGAAAGTAGTCAACCTTGATGCATGTCCTCCAGAAGTGGCAGCCGTCCTGTCCCCCGCCTCCTTCCCGACCCGCCAGCCCGAAGGACGAGCGAACCCTGGCCTCGTACGAGGTACGGCACGGCGCCGTCATCGTCCTCGCCCCCCGCCTCCGCGACTGGGCGGAGAGCAAGCCGCGGCGGGCACAGTTCTCCGCCCGCAGGGGGCTGGAGCCGCGTTTTATGTGCCGCCCTCTGGGGTTGGAGTCGTCTGGGGGTCTGAGGTGGCTCAGCACTGGTTTTAAGTCGGGCGTGTCCCTATACAGGAGGAGTATTCATTACTAGTCAAACAAATTGTCTGAGGACGATTTGTTTTAAGCATTACTTGACTATTTTGGAATATTTGTGGAGTATTTTTTATCCTTCGCTCAAAATCCGCCTGTAGGGGGACATGCCCGACCTAAGGTTGGAGGCGTCTGGGGGTCTGAGGTGGCTCAGCACTGGTTCCAGTCAGCAGGCACGGCGGACAGGTTCGACGGTTTGGATTCGGGGAGGTGTTCTGCCTCTCTCGTCCTTTTGGGGGCCGTTTTTTCCGGGCCCGCCGACTGAAAAACGGATCCGGGGTGACACATTGCACCACATGCACCCTGGGAAGGGTCCAGGGACCGATTTTGATCGGATTTGGCCTCACCCCCCCTCCCGACAGATTTTCTGGGGTCCCAGTCGATTCAGACACTCGAGCGACCTCCAAGACGCAGCCGCTCTGCGATGTCTCTCGGCGACACGTTAGGCTCGAATTCGCTGGGTTTTTGGCTTGCCGGCTGAATCTTGACGGCCCAGCTTTAATGGGATGTTTGCGAGCGGGAATTTGCGTCAACCCGAACCCGAGCCTTCTTGTACGTCTCCCCGAGTCAGCCGTTTAATTGCCTGAGGAGTTGCCAATGGCGCACTCCTCTACCCACCCTTCCTTCCAGATGCCAGACTCACTTGTGGCGGTGGTGGCGGTGGTCATTGAGGTGTTGGGCAGTTATCGTGTGCTTCTTTACCAGTCCTCGAGGGTTTCCCAAACAGGTCGACGATACATACATATATATATGTGTGTATGTGTATGTGTATGTGTATGTGTATGTGTATGTGTATGTGTATGTGTATGTGTATGTGTATGTGTATGTGTATGTGTATGTGTATGTGTATGTTATGTATGTATGTATGAATGAATGAATGGATGTATGAATGTATGTATGGATGGATGGATGAATGGATGGATGTATGTATGTATGCATGTATGTCTGTCTGTCTGTCTGTCTGTCTGTCTGTCTGTCTGTCTGTCTGTCTGTCTGCCTGTATGTATGTATGTATGTATGTATGTATGTATGTATGCATGCATGCATGCATGCATGCATGCATATACATATATACATATATATATATGTGTCTATATGCACATATCCACCGCCCATGGCCAGGCCCAATCTGGGCCCTGGAGCGGTGTCTTCGCCCCCTTGGGCTTGGCCAGGGTGGGCCAGGGACCAGGGAGGAGGAAGGAGGAGGAGGAGGAGGAGGAGGAGGAAGAGGAGGAAGAGGAGGAAGGAGGAGGAGGAGGAGAAGGAGGAAGAGGAGGAGGAGAAGGAGGAGGAAGACGAGGAGGAGGAGAAGGAGGAGGAGGAGGATGAGCAGGAGTCAGCGGCTGTGAATCCGTCTAGACCTCGTCGCCCTGCCCCCCAAAACAAAGTTTGGGGGTCGCGCCTCGTCGCGAGCGTTCCGTGGGCGCCGGAGTCGTCCCGAGCGGCCAACGGGCCAGAGCTCAGGCCCGATGGCCAAAGAGACGAGAACCCGCACACCCGGGCGCCGTGGGCCAGACCACACCACGGTCTCTTTCGCCCCGTTCTGGGCCCCAGGACCCTCACTTGTCGATCCAGCTCGAGGAGTCTGGTGGAAGGACGGGTTTCTCTATGCCGCCTCAAGCGATTCAAATGATGGCTCCTTCTTGTTTCCCTTCCCCTTCCCCTTCCCCTCCCCTCCCCTCCTCGCTCCTCGTCCTCTTCTTCGTCCACGCCCGTCGCCCCGCTCGCCAGAGCCCCGCAGACACGGCCGGCTGGCGACCTCTCTTGCACCTTTGCGGGCCCGCGGGGCCCTCGCGGATCCATCTGGCTCGAGGATCGGGGGGAGAAGAACGGCGGGGTCCCAGCTGGTGAGGCTTTGGGGCCAAGCGCAGACCGCCCCCCCCCCCCCAGGTAGTCCAGGTGGCCTCCACAGGCCCCCCGAGCAGTCCCAGCTGGTCTCAGCAGCACCCCCGAGTAGTCCCGGGCGGTCTCAACACCCCGGCGCCGCCTCTGGCGCCGCCCCTGGGGCGCTCCGCGTCCCAGGGCCTGGGTGTTGAGACCGCCCCAGATTTCTCGGGGGGACTGTCGAGTCTAGCTCGGACTACTCGGGCGGCCTGTTTAGGCCAGCTGGGACTACCTGGGGGGGGCTGCCAGCGCGCAGCTCGAAACCTTGCCAATCTCGGACCTACGCTGTCGTTATTTTTGTTTTTTTGTTGTTTTTGTTTTTTTGTCTTTCTTTTTTTTGTCTCTGTTTTCTCTTTTTCTCCAACTTCAATAGGCACACACGATGGGAACTCTTGCCGTAAGACATCCAGGGCACATTTGACATATATCTCCGAGCTTCATGGGGCGCCCCGTAGCTGGTGCGAGTGTCCCCCTCTGGCCATCGAGGGATAAGGAAGTTCAGTTGGTCACCGACTGGCAGGCTGGTTTCTTGTGTATTGTGTCTACTGTGCGTGATCCTTGGAGCTCTCGACCCCTTCCCAGATCGGGCCCTTCGACCTGGATTGGTTTTTGACGGCCCAAGGGGCCCGACGATTATGCCTGGAACCTGGAACCTGGAAGCTGCTGACGACGTCCGCCTTGATTGTTCTGTTCAAGACGACGCCGGAGGCCTGAGAGAAAGTTCTTGTCGTGGTGTTCTGCGCGGCGTCGCGATGTTGCCACGCCGCCGTAGATCTTTTGGGCCTTCCGTTGGGCTCGCGTCGGGCCGCGGAGCGCCCTAGGCGATTCGTCTCGCGAGCGTGTCCTTGGTGCGCGCCCTTCGCCCCTCGAGACATTTTGCCCCCGTTGAGCGGGCCGCCTTCGCGGTCTTGGCTCGAGGGTCCAGGTTCAACGACGTCTTCTCTGCTGCTACGTCTCTGCCTCTCCTCTGCAGACGTCCGGAGACCTCCAAGCGCGCTTTGCGAGCCTCTTGGACCTTTGGGGACCTCCAGGTCGGACGGGGCCAGGACGAGGATCATCTGTGAGCGCTCTGGAACGCTCTCCGAGCGTTCTGGAACGCTCTGGGAAGGCCGCGGCGCCCGAGACCTCCCTCAGAGCCGCCAGATTTCAGAGATTCCCGATTTGTCTTCACCCGATTTTCTCCTCGTCCTGGCTTCGTCTTACCAGGGACCTCAGGCGTTGGGTTCGGCCAGATCCAGGGGCCGGGAGCTGGGAACGCTCGTGTGCCCTGCTGTCGTCCTTCCGAGCACCGCCGAGGTCGAACATCAGAGGAGGGCGAGTTGAGGCAACGGTAGTTGGCCTTCGGGGGGCCCCTCGCCGCCACGGCTTGACGCGTTTGGAGCCAGGGAGGGGTCCAGGGATCGATTTAGAGCTGCCGGTGCCTCAACTCGCCCTGCTCCGAGTCGAACGCGCAAGCGCGCGAGCGCACACACACATCGGTCCAAGGTCAGAGAGATTTCCTGAGAGCTGCGCTCAGTTTGCCGCAGAGCACGATTCGGCGTCAGTATTATCTGGCGCTGTGTAGTGCGCAGTGCGCTTGCGTTGCTCATCCTTGGGTTGCCGTGCCACGAGGCACACGGCACTCCTCGCAGCGAGATGTTCCAGTGATTGTTTGTGTGTGTGTGTCTTTGTGTGTGTAGCGCCCTCCGCGCCCTCCCCCGCCGTTGCACCGGCCGCGGGGCTGCCGCCCCTGCCCTGCCCAGCCTCGCTTCCCTCTAGGAGGAGGTCCTGCCCCCGCCGCTGCATCTCCTCATGTTAATCCACCCTTTCTGCAGGTTTTTGGCCTGGGTCTTCGCCCACTGCCTCCTCCCCTGCTTGCCTGGTCCTCCGATCCGTAGCCATTTTGGCTCAAGTTCGAAACCTTGCCGCGAGGCTTCGAGCTTGTCCGCAGCCGTGCGGCAGGCTCGGACGATTTCGGCGCGTGTGCCGCCCACATAGCTGCGCGGGGCGCGCAATGGGATATCTCGTCTGTCTCGTCTGTCGCGATGCTGGCAAGACTTCGTGGACCCCCGACACCAACCCCCGCCAGAAGTGTACGTTTTGCAGTACTCCCTTTCCTGGCCGCTCCAGAGGACAGGTCCAAGGAAAGAAAGGAAGGAGCAAAGGCAGGCGCAATGAGCCTGTCGTGTCCCCTCCCCGTGCTCGTTTTCATGATCGTCATGATGTTGACGGTTCTGCCACTCCCCCAGTTCGGTCTTTGGATGAACGTCTTCAGGCTCCATTGGATGATGAAGTGCAGGATAGGTTTGGATCTGAGTCTGGCGACGACGGTATTGGCAGTGATCGTGGTTTCTGGGCTGACTATGTCGACGACGACGTTGATGGCGGCCGTGTCGACACCAATGGCAATGAGCTCTCGGTTGCGCAGATTGACCAGATTATCAAGGCCCTGTTGGGCCAGCTGGATTCCCTCCGCCTGCTTCCGCCGACCAGGTATGTTCTCGATCCGGTTTCGAGTCTCCAGGACGAGTTGCAGCATCTCCGAGCACAAAAGTCCGACATGCTTACCGTCCCCCAGAAGCGTGCGTTCTACAAGCAGCGTCATCACTGGGCCACTAAGAAGTTTGACAAGATCTCTAGCCAGATCCGTGAGTTCAATCGTAAAATCCTTGACCTTCAGAGCGAAAGGGACGCCCTCTGCTCTCGTCAGGAGCGGGTCGCTCAGGATATGGCTATGTGGCAGGCTAAGTTGCAGGATCTCCCGTCGAGTGAGCCAGGTCCTGAGGGTTTCACGCCCCCAGATCTCTCTGCCGTGGCGGACGTCTTCGCAGCTTCCCAGGCAGTGCAGAGAGACAAGAAGCTTGCTCAGGCGTTGCGTGACCTCCAGGGTATCGTTATGTCTGGCTATGCTCCTGTTGGTACTGCCAGAGAGCCTCGGTCTCAGTCTGAGGAACCCAGGATGTCTGTCGACCAGCAAGGTTCCCCAACACGCGTTGCCAGGGCTCCTCCCCGTACCTCTTCCTCACTGCCGCCTGCGCCGAAACGTCCTGCTCATGCCCCTGAGGTTGCAGTTGATCAGTCGGGACAGTCAGGAAGGTTTTCGCCGTCGGCTGCCGCCGCCGCTGGCCCCGCCGACACCCCAGCTGTGGTGGAGGGCACCAATCCCATGGGCCCGTCTGACCTTTAGCACATCGCAGACCCCGCCCGACAAGTCAGCCTTCGTTCAGAAGCCTCGTCGGGACTGGGTCATCGTTACTGTGAACGTCACCTCCTGGTCCAATGCCGATATTTTCCTGGAGGCCTATTCTGATCGGTTTGATGCTGTCGGTTTTCAAGAACTCTGTCGTACTGAAGAGGCTATCGAGTTCGCAGTCAACCGTGCTCACAAGCATGGGTTCCATGCGCACCTCCACCCCTCAGTTAGTACTCAGAAAGGTGGATTGAGTTCAGGAGTGGGCCTTGTCTCGCAGTATGCCAGGTCCTTCTCTGAAGTTGTATTGGATCCGATTGTTGTCATGCCCCCCCCAGAGAGAGAGAGATTTATCCTGAAGCTATGGCATGGGGTCGTGGATCCAGGTATCCCTTGGGCCAATGTCTACTTACACACGGGGGAAGGCGCTGAGGATCGCAATGCCCAGTTGCTGATGCAGGTGGCAGCAGTCATGAAGACCATATCCACCCCCTTTATTATATCAGGGGACTGGAATATGTCCCCCAAGGACTTGCAGAATACGGACTTCTTAACGCTCATAGGTGGGGTCATTGTCGCGCCAGATCGCCATACCTATGAGTCCGCGGGT